CAGCCTTATGAGGTAGATACTGTTATTTCCCCAATTTTACAGCTGAGGAAATGAGGCATGGAGCAGCTCATAACTTAATTACTATTGCACTGGGGTTTGGAAATTGAGTCCAGCAGTCTGACTTCAGTCTGACTCTTTGGTTACTAAGCTCTATCCACCCTATTTTACAGTTATAACTGATGCTGATTTTATTTTATTTTTTATTTTTGTAAAAGATATTTTTATTTCAGAGAGGAAGGGGGAGGGAGAGAGATAGAAACTTCAATGATGAGAGAGAATCATTGATTGGCTGCCTCTTGTACGTCCCTCCCTGGGGATGGAGCCCGCAACCTGACTGGGAATCGAACCGTGACCTCCTGGTTCATAGATCTACGCTCAACCACTGAAACATAGCAGCTGGGCACAGATGCTGATTTTAAATTATTTTAAAATGATTGTATAGTTGATAAACTAGATTTTGAGCCAAGGCTTTACTGACTACCAAAACCTGTTTGTTCTCTGATCCCCCAAAAGTATTTAAACTGTTTTATTAGGCTTTATTAAATGATGTCAAAGTTATCTCATTTTTCTTCTAGAGTAGACATGCACATTTTAAAATTCTGTTCATTCAGCAAATGCTAATTGAGTATATGTTATGTGTCAGGTACCTTATTAGATTCCAGAAACACGGAAATTAGCTTCAGTAAGCTAAAATTGTATCTAGTGATAAATATAATGTTAGACAAATATGCCCATCATTAGTAGGTCATATTTGTTTAATACCAATTTGGCAGTCAGAAAGTGTTTCAAATTGTGGTATGTTCCTTTTTCCTTTCTTTATTTCCTTTTTACCCCCTAGGCATTATCTACCCTGGACTCCATCACTCTGATGTACCCTTTCTTTTACCGGCCCATGTTTGAAGTGATAGAAGATGGCTGGCATTCTTTCCTTCCTGAGCAAGAATTTGAGCTCTACTCTTCAGCTGTGAGTAACTTTTGAGAAAACTATGGATAATAGTTGAGAAATAACACAACACCTTACTTTAATTCCTTTTGATGAGTGATAAGGTACATTTGACTTATTCATGCCTTTTCTCATAACACTGAACTCAGCATCACACCTTGTCCTGGTTTCTCCTTTTTAATTTCTTTAAAAATATGTTTTTATTGATTTTTTTAGAGAGAGAGGAAGGGAGACGGAAAGAGAAACACCTATGAGAGAGAACCATCGATCGGCTGCCTCCTGGATGCCCCTACTGGGGATAGAGCCTACATGTGCCCTGACCAGGAATAGAACTTTTTGGTGCATGGGACAACACTCAACCAACTGAGTAACACCAACCAGAGCTTTCTCCTTTTTTATTTTTTAAATATATTTTTATTGATTTCAGAGAGGAAGGGAGAGAAGAGAGAGATAGAAACATCAATGATGTGAGAGAATCATCGATTGGCTGCTTCTTTCTGTTGCTATACTTTAAGAGGATGAATGAGATGAAGTTGGCCCTGATAGTCATAGATATACCTAATATATTTAACTTGGAGAATAGAAGACGAAGGGAGAAACAACTGTCTCTCACACATTTGATGGGATGTCATGTAAGACAGGAACTTGTACTGAAATCATGGTAAAAACCAATAGAGGAAGTTGTAGAGCAACAAATGTTGCTAAATATGAGGAAGAACTTTCTAGGAACTGGGGATACATAGCATTGCAGAAAGCTGACTAAAGAATGGAGCTTGTTTTCTCTGGAAGTATCTAAGTATGATAGATATCCTTCTTTTAAACTTCTGAGATGGCGTCTTCATTGTATGAAAATTGATCTCTAAGATCCTTTAAATTTTTTCAGATTATTTTGTGACACTGAGATACTAGCTCTGAAATATGTGTTTTTCAGACCAGTGACTGGAGGTTAAGCTATGTTAATAAGGAATTTGCGGTCTGCCCCTCTTACCCGCCAATTGTCATAGTACCCAAATCCATTGATGATGAAGCTCTTCGGAAGGTGGCTACATTTCGACATGGAGGACGCTTCCCAGTACTCAGCTATTATCATAAAAAAAATGGAATGGTAAGTGTACAGTACTGCGGCTTAGTCTAGTGAAAGACTTGGTTTGAGGATTTCTTAGAAATGGTTCCCTTCTCTGTGTACCTGTCCATTGAAGTGGTTAGTCACTCCTGCTAGGACTTCCTTCATTTAAAATTCAGGAAATTGGGAGTAGAGTGTTTTCTGTGATCATTTTATGACTTTGAATTCTTTCTGTGATGCTGCTCAACCTTAGAAAACCCCAGCTAGGTTTATCCTCAGGACTCAATACAAGGGGAACTAATAATGTTCATGTGCTATTTAAATTAATGTTCTCAGGCAGAAAAGTAAATTTCTCTGATCAGAATGATGGTAAGATACTGGTAAATTGAGCAGAAGTTTTTATTTTCAAAAGGGAGAAGAGTGGCACCGGTCATAAGTCACAATAAGTAAACATGGGCATCAGGAATTGAATAGGCAAGTGCTTGCAGTGTATTTGTTTCCTAGATATTTTCTAAATCTGTTTCTGTCCTCTACTTTCTCTCAGTCCATGAACTGCTTCATTTTGAGACCAATAGTAAATTGGTGGATAAATTATTATCACCTATTTTTCTTTTCCCCTGGTATTAAGTCAAACATGGATATTTAGGATAAAAAGATTTCTAAAAATCTGCTATTTTTGCATCAGGCCATCCATTCTGATTGCTTAATAGTATATCTGTTTTTACTAGGGTTCATTACAAAGTATTTTAATAATTGATGTTAAATATATTGAGTATCCATTTACATGGTGAGTGCCATCTGAGAGTTAGCTATTGTCATCCTATGAATGACCTTTCTTGTCATGTTAAATTTCAGGGTAGTTAAGATAACAATGTGTACAATGGGTACAACTCTAAGCCATTCACCAGGAAGAGATCAGTGTAACAGTTAATTGATTTCTTGAGAAAAGTTTCAAAAGCAAACCTTCAAAATATATAGTTCATAATATTTGGAGACAAGTGGTTAAGTCCTGGAATACTGAAAAGGATGGAAGAGGGCCACTGGAGGATAAGTAATACCAAGCAGCTTTCAAGATAATGAAGATGATTCCCAAAACAAGAATAATGAGTAAACTTTTTTTATTTTGCCATTGGTGCCTTTTTCTTTATAATTCTTGCCAACCCTAAGTTTAGGTAGTTGAAGCAAAAGTTTACTGGTGCATAGGCCATTATTATTATTATCTTCATTACAGGGCTAGATCAACTGGATAATTACTCACTGACTAAATGTATTATAATAGCTCATCTTTAAAAGGAACTAAAATATTTTGTGAAAGTATTTTGAGATAGTGGGAAGAAAAATCATTTGAAAGTGCAAGGCTTATTTTTGTTTTACAGTTATTAACTTTGTCAATAAATAGAAATGTATCTTTATTTTAGGATCAGATCCATCCCACTTGTTTTTGAAGTACTCTTAATCTAGCTAATTTACTTCTGTTTTGAAAAACTTTAAATGCAGCTACTATTAAGTTTTTTGTGTTTGAGAGAGAAAAGGGGAGAAAGAGAGAGAAATAACATTGACTTCTTGTCTGCTTATTTATGCATTCATTGGTTGATTCTTGTGTGTGCCCTGACTAGGGATGGAACCTGTGACCTTGTTGTAGCAGGATGATGCTCTAACCAACTTAGCTACCCAGCTAGGGCTTTATTTTTTTTGTTTTTTTTTTTTAATATATTTTATTGATTTTTTACAGAGAGGAAGGGAGAGAGATAGAGAGTTAGAAACATCGATGAGAGAGAGACATCGACCAGCTGCCTCCCGCACATCTCCCACTGGGGATGTGCCCGCAACCCAGGCACATGCCCCCGACCGGAATCGAACCCGGGACCCTTCAGTCCGCAGGCCAACGCTCTATCCACTGAGCCAAACCGGTTTCGGCTTAAGTTTTAAATTTTATTGTGATTCTAGGTAATTATGCGAAGTGGTCAGCCACTGACTGGCACAAATGGGAGACGGTGCAAAGAAGATGAGAAGCTGATCAATGCTACCCTCAGAGCAGGAAAGCGTGGCTACATCATTGATACTCGATCTCTAAATGTAGCTCAGCAAGCTAGAGCCAAAGGAGGCGGCTTTGAGCAAGAAGCTCATTATCCCCAGTGGAGGCGGATTCATAAGTCCATTGAGAGGTAAAAGGTTCTGGAGACAGTGATGGGCTCTTATTTGAAGCTAATTAGAGTGGGTGAACCTTTAGCTGTTCAAAAATCACAAGTTTTCAAATGAATCTAAACATTAACTTAGAGTCCAAAATTGACTGGCTATCCTGTCGTCGTGTTTTGTAAGATGAACAGAAAACTTACCTTGGATGCTCACAGGTGAGTTTTAGTCAGCACTGTTTCTGCAAGTCAGCTCTGAAATTTCATCCCCACAAGGTCTGCTCCTCTGCTTATAGATCAGTGGTCACCAAACTTATCCAGATAGGCTATGGATAACTATATTTTCCTAGTCAAAGACTTTAGACATTTAATTTCCCCCATACTCACTTTTTTCACACCCTGTTTCCTCTACCTCTCTTGTTTATGCTTGCAGTTAGTGGTTTATAGTAGGTACTTTAGGTAGGTGGGTGGGAGTCGGAGCTGGCTTTGGGCACCCCTGCTGATAGTACCGGGTAGACCCTTTGGAGTAGGATTGCAGATGTCAGTGGTACTATCTCTGACCTGTCTCAAAATGCAGTGCTCTGGCTCTCTCCCCAGTCAGATAATTCAGCTCTTCTACTGGTGTTTAATCTATTCAGATGAGCATGAACAATTACCTTGACAGACATTTAAGCATCTTTGCAATCATGTTGAAATATTAGCTTTTCATTATTTAATCCTTAGGTTATTGTATAGCAGGGTAAATATTTTATAGTATTTTGAGCTACTTTGGCTCTTGGATTGATTGGAGGATGAGTTTTTGGTTTGGTTTCTTCATTGTTTTTGTTTTGTTTTTCTTTTCCTCATATTTGAAAGGTATCACATTCTTCAGGAGAGCTTAGTCAAACTTGTGGAAGCTTGTAATGACCAAACACATAACATGGACCGATGGCTTAGTAAATTGGAGTCTTCCAACTGGCTGACTCACATCAAAGAGATTCTGACAACTGCCTGTCTAGTGGCTCAGTGTATCGACAGGTAAAGTACATTTCAGTGCTCCAGAATGGGACATGCACTGCTAACTAGACTTTGCTTTTATCCAGACATATGTTTATATATTAACATATGCCTCGGAGATATTGTGGGTTTGGTTCCAGACCACTGCAATAAATCGAATACTATCTCAATAAAGCAAGTCACACGAATTTTTGGTGTCGCAGTGCATGTAAAAGTTATGTTTAACTATACTGTAGTCTTTTAAGTGTGTAATAGTATTCTTTAAAAAAAAAGTGTCTACCTTAATTAGAAAATACTTTATTCTAAAAAAATTAACCATCATCTGAGCCTTCAGTGAGTTATAATCTTTATGCTGGTAGAGGGTCTTACCTTCAATTTGTAAAAAATGCAATATCTGCAAAGTGCAATAAAGTGAAGCTCAATGAAGTTTGGTCTATTCTATATCTTATGTTCAGATCATTTTATAAATTACTATAAGATAGTCAATGGCATTCAGTTATCGATGATGTATGTGCATAGAGTTTGTCATTTAATTGATAATTAATGTTTGTTGAATGAATTGCGAACCATGTACATATATGTCTTTGATGACACAAGTTTTTTTAAGTACCAAAGACCTAATTTTTTTCTATACAGTCCTTAAATTATTAATCTACCCATTTTCCTTTTCTGAAACTGTGAGAAAGAAGTTTTTCTATGTCTTCTCAGAGGGCCAAACTTGCCTTCTTACAATGAAAGGAAGCATATGAGTTTGTTACACAGTAAAATAATCCTTTCTAATCTCAGATATCTTATTACAAACTACTCGATGTGTGCAGTTATATCAGGATCTCAAAGTTGAGAAAACCTGATGGTAGTGATGTGAAGTATATGAAGTGATTTTAGTTTATTCACTCAGTTGAAGGTTGCTAATCCTTGAGACTTGAGGCAGAAGACTTGAACAGAGGCAGAAGGATGGTATAAGTTGTGGCAGAAGCTTAGCATGCCCTTTTTAAGAAGGGGATTCCCACTGAAACAATAGGTAGGTATAAGTATTGCCACCACATAGTTGGATGGCACTTTTCTTTGAGAATCTAATTTGTTTTATTGATGCTTCCAAATTAGGGAATGATATATGTAATTTTTTATGGTTAGTGAGAAATTGATCATAGACTGGATTGCTTAAAATCACATGGTAAGTTAGTGACAAAACCAAGAATGGGCTTGCAGTCAGGATTCCCAGGCTGTCACTGTTCTTTTATTTTAGACGAAGCTCATTTACCTAATAAAATATGCAAAGTGAATAATACAGAATGATGAGGTGCTAATATTAAGGGTTTTGTTTCTTTTTAGCCTAAGTTTAGAAGATTTCCCCTTACATGATAAATACAGAGGCTCCTGTTTTCTTATGAAACACGAATTGTAATAGGCACTTATCACCATGTTGTCCAAGTTTTCAGCCATAATAATGAGATGATGCAGGTCTAGGTGCAGAACAATATTTGTTATCTCCACCTTCGTTTTGTTTGAGCTGCTGCCTTAAACAAACAAGAACCTCCACACTCCTAGGAAAGTTGAAGATTTTGGTTATTTTGCAATGTTTTGTATCCCTTTTCTGATATATATTAGCTTGTTACTTGTACCTACATAAAAATCTGCCCTTATATTTAATTACTAAAAATGTAAAAATTGACCTTAAGTTAAATAAATTCAGAATATACCACAGATAACAAGATATATATTCAGTATATATCGGAAGCCTTAAAATATTTGCTCATATCTTTTTCAGGCTACTCATTAGATGTAATGCTACAAATGAGTTGTTAGCTTAGCCATAAGTGAACATCAGGGAGCTTATTTTCAAATTAAGAACTCAATTCAGCAAAAGTAAAAAAGCTAAGTGCATTATCTGCAGTGTAACAAAAATTGGCAGTAACCTTAATATCCAATCATAGGATTAAATAAATTATAGTTGTTCACTTAATACAATATTTAATAACCATTAATACAATACTTCTAAAGATGGCATAGATGCATGGGAAAATGTTTATAATAAAAGTGGAAATAATAATAAATTACTTTTCCTTGCAGCTATACAAAGTATATATGTACATGGGAAGACAATTAATAATAATCAAACATGAAACTTTTATGAGAAAGTGGTGAATTTCTTTTCTTTTTTTGCCTAAAATTTTCTTCACTGTCATTTCAATATAAGACATGGAAGAAGGAGAGGGGAGATGTAGATAATTTAGTTTTTGATGCTTCGTCCCACAATCTTTAGAATATTGAGGTCCCAGAGACGACCTAAGTGTTGTGGTATCATTGCCACTTCCTTTCTAAATTGTTTGACAGTTTTATTTTTTTAAATGTTTTATTATTCTTTCTTCCTGTTTCATGTTTCTCAAAGTATAGTTCAAGACTTGTTTCCCATTATAATTGATGAAGGCGTCCTTACAGTCAGCTAGCTGATAGTGAGGAGGCAGAATCAAGGTCAGAGAGATACAGAAAAATAATTTTAAGTATGTTTCTAGGTTCAATGAGAAAAGCCTTTAATCAACTATTAAAGCAGAAGAGGTAAGTGCCTACTGTGTGTGTTAAGGACTGCTTTTGTTTTTGTAAAGATAGAAAACTTTTAGCTAAAAAAAATTCTGTAAAATTTGTTATAGCTTGAAAAGGTTCTTGCCGTGTGAAATTTGGGACTTATACTATAGTTTTACTTTTTTCCCCAGGAAGCTCTCTTCAATGTGCCTTATTTAGACTCTAACCCTATGGGACAGTGCGGAATACATAATAAGACTTTGTACTCAGTAAATGTTTATTATTAGCAGACTTGATTGACCATGTTGGGAGTATCCCATTTGTACTCTGAATTTTTCTATCAGGGAAGGAGCATCCATATTGATTCATGGAACAGAAGGCACTGATTCCACACTTCAGGTGACCTCCCTGGCCCAGATCATCTTGGAACCAAGAAGCAGGACCATCCGTGGTTTTGAGGCCCTGATAGAAAGAGAGTGGCTGCAGGTGAGAAAAGCTGTTTTGTGTGCAGTGGAACAGCTGATAATTGATGTCGTGATCCTGGTTTGTAGGAGCGGATATAATGTATGACATTTTGATGGTTAGGGCCATTTTCTTTGTGTCTTGTTTCCTGAACTAGACCAAAACAAAGTGACTTCTTTGAGGTTCAGGGACCTTGCCCAGTTCATTTGTTTATCCTTAGTACAAAGCACTGCTGTCACATAAGGCTGTGGATGAAAACTGAAATAAAGGCCTCATAAACAAGCGGAAATACTCCAAGGCAGAGGTTAATTCGTGAATGTACATACACTGTGTAACATAGTAAACAATTGTAACTAAAAATATATGTTTAAATATATCTTGGAATGGAAGTATCTCTGGAGAAAATAATTTCTGGCCTTTCTAGTTACAATTTGGATTTATTATGCGTTAATGCTGTTACATGTACTCTGTCTACCCTGCCTGACAACTGACTATCTCTGTTTAACTCAGACCATCTTAAATATTTGGTAGAAATCTATTGGACTACATTCCTTATGTTACAGAGCAAATAAACAAATGAGTATGATATACTTATATATTGGCATTTTAATGAGCATAAAATCCCATTAGCTACTGGAAAATGGTCATGGCATTATCTTAGTCACGAATAAGGACCCAAAGATAAGAAATTCCTAGAAGGGTGTGATTTGGGATAAGGGTGGTACTCAGGTTCTGGGTGGGCCAGAGCCAGTGATTCTTAAATTTCCTTTGGTCAGTAGATACCAGACTCTTCTAGTTCTTTTGGGGAAAAGAGGGACATTAAGGAGGGCTTTATCTCTAATATAAAGATATTCATAAAAATCTCTTCATCACAGTAACTAACTTTTTTTCCATATGTAACTAACGACAATATCAGGAGTGACTTATAGAGTCTGTCTACAGAGCCCCATATTTATCTCCATTTAGTGGTGTGGCTTATGTAGTTTACAATAGTCTGCAATGCTTTGGATAGATAGAAGGTGTTAACTGCCCTTTGTTTTGTACCTGAAAAGCTTCTGTTCTTTGACTATGTTCCAAATTACACAGACAAAAAATTTGTAAGTTTATCATTACTGAAGTTCATTATTCCATTTGGCATTCCAAGGACAGTTTGGGTACTTATGGTTAAGTAGTTGGAAATTGTTTTAAACCAAGAAATCATTAATCTAAATAGCAGTCACCAAAACTATATGATGTTCCATTTAATAGGAGTTGCATTGCACCTGTGTGAAATAATTTTAATAGAATGTGGACTCTCACTAGGGTCTGACTGTCTTTTCCCTCTTTCCTTATCATTTCCCTCTTTTCTCATAGGCTGGTCACCCGTTCCAACAGCGCTGTGCACAGTCGGCCTATTGTAGTAGTAAGCAGAAATGGGAGTCACCTGTATTTCTTCTCTTCTTGGATTGTGTGTGGCAGATACTTCGTCAGTTCCCTTGTTCTTTTGAATTTAATGAGAATTTCCTCATCATGCTCTTTGAGCATGCTTATGCCTCACAATTTGGAACGTTTCTGGGCAACAATGAAAGTGAAAGGTGGGTACATTGCTCACATGGGGGCCATTTCATTTTATGTTGTTTTGGCCACTCCCTAAAAGAGTTGTTTCTGCATTAATGTTATTTATAAAATGGTAGAGATTACAGTTAGTATAAATTATGCAAAGTGTATGTATTCTTATTATGAGCCTATCCTACGACTTTGTTTCATTAGATTAAAATTAGTCCATATACTGATTAAAAAGCTTTGAATAAATTGGGTAACTATTTTAAACTATAATTTCTTTACATAGAATTATAGTATTTTACATCTGCAAGAAGCCTTAACATATAACTGCACCCTCCATCTGGTTTTATAGATTTAGGAAGGTAATGTGCAGATTAGTTAAATGACTTGTCCAGGGACACATAGCCAGCTGGTCAGCAAAAGTCAGGCTAGAGTACAGGTCTTCCTATTCCTGCTCTAGCCTTTCTCTGTTAAACCAGTGGATGTAATTTTAACTCGGCATTTAAATAATGTGTTTGACTATGGATTCTTTTTGGTGTTGTACCTATTAATATCTCTCAGACATACATTCAGTATAGGGTTCACAAATAGATATTATCTCACATTCTGATTCCCCTTTAATAGAGGAGGATTCTGAAGCTGTGTGGGGTGGGCTTAGCCTGAAAAAGTTCAGTGATTGGCTAGTCATGGGTTTGGGGGTCAGGGGGGTAGAGGGAGCAGTGGTGCAGTGGTTCCTTATCCTCATCATGCCTGGTTCCTGGGGACGTAATAGTATGGGACTTGCTGTCCTAGCAATTAAATGCTAGTATTACATGGGGTCTGTGACTGTGTGGATTATTACTAGCATAATTTCTAAAATGTGCCCATTTATTTTTCATCCCTAGTAATTTATTCCACGATATAGAGCATTACAGAATTTCAGGATTATTGTGAAGACTGTTCATTGTAAATGAATAGAGATTAAATCTATATTTATATCAAGATGCATACTTATTTTTAATCTATTTAGATGTTTTGAGTTAAAATACAATTCCAGATACAATGTTGTGTATGACATGACCAGATTCTGGTTTTTTCCTTCTTCTGGTTTTGTTGTTATTGAGAACTACAGTGCGGAATTTTCTGACAGAGATTTTTATTTTACAACATTTTATTCTGCTACTAAAAATCTTGCATTCCACCTTCTAATATACAGAAAAGAAATTGTCCTATTAGGAGAAGCATTTGATAGTTGTTATAAATTAACTGCTTTAATGGCAATTTTTTTTCTTGATCAGATGTAAGTTGAAGCTACAGCAGAAAACGATGTCTCTGTGGTCTTGGGTCAATCGGCCCAGTGAGCTGAGTAAACTCACCAATCCTCTCTTCGAAGCCAACAGCCTTGTCATCTGGCCTTCGGTGGCTCCACAGAGTCTTCAGCTCTGGGAGGGTAAGCCGTGCGTCCTTTGCAAACTTTCTGTCATTAGTCAGGGATGAGCTGTAAGCTGCCTGTGAGGACATGCGGTTGTTGGTATTTGAAGATGGTAAGGTGGACCTCACTCTCAGTCCTGTGTGTATTTTTTTCTCAGTATTTTTTGAAGAGCCTTCATACTGTTTTCCATAACGGTTGCACCTCTTCAAAATCCCTCCAACAGTGCACAGGGGTTTTAATTTTTTCACATCCTTGCCAAGAGTTGTTACTTTCCTTTTGGGTTCCACACCCCACACCCTCACGCTCCTGTAGAATCCATCCTAATGGAAATGAGGGAAAGTAACTTCTTGTATAAGAAAAGTTGGTAGACAGTTAGGACAGGATAAAATGTAAGCTCCTAGGAGATGGTTTCCGTTTCCTTTATTAAGCAGTCATTAGGGTAGGCTCTTCTGTTAAATGCTACTGAAGGGGGAATGAGCTAGCTGTTCTAGTTAGAGTTTACACTGTACACATACCAGTGCCATCCATCAATGCATTGCTCATGTGGAACAATAATCCGTGCTTAATTTTCAAATCTATTCTAAAGGAGGTGTTTCACCTACATTAATTTTTCAGACTCCTAAAGCTTGTCTTCTTAAATACCAAAGCCTGTTTTTTTTAAAATAGCCAAAATTTATCTAAAATATATTAGCCATTCATTAAAGAAAGACTGAAGTATACCATTTAATTTATTTTTAATCATTTTTTGAAGGTTATCTTTATTCATCTTTGTAGTAAAACAACATTAGGCATATACACAAGGATGGCAGCTGTTTGGTAAATTGAAGTGAATTTCCATATATGTTAGTTGTTCTTCCGTGTTCTGATATGCTCTCAAGGACAATTCATGTGTGGAGAGCGTTTTGCTCTCTGTATGTGTCAAAGGATCTCAGATTGCTTGGCTCTCTCAGCTTGAGATCAAGTCTGTTTCTGTTACTTCTCTGGACGTCCGCTCTCACATCTTGGTTGTTCTTAGCACATCTTCAAGAGCTGCCTTCTTCCTCCTCAGTTTGTGCTTTTAATCTTACCTGTCGGGGTGTCTCCTTGTCAGAATTGTGGGGAAATGGCCTCAGAAAGTCTCGGGGTTCTCTAAGTGCTTTGGGAACTTGAGGCTGCTCAGAGCTTCTCTTTGCTTACTCTCCTGATTGTTGTAGGTGGTCACTGGTGCAGGATAAGTGATCTCTCCAATGGGAGATTTCAGCTGTGCTTCTTGTTTAAGACGTCTGGGACAGTTTACCTAAAGCCACTGTCATGCTTAATAACTGAAATGAGAGACTAGCTTACTTGGGAGAAAAGCCAAATTTGGGAGTTGGATGACCTAAACTAGTTTTTACCAAACCTTCTTTATTCAGTTTGTATAATGAGACTGCTTTTATTATCTCTCTCTCTGCTGTTTACATTTACATCATAGTTAACCATTAATATTAAGTAATTCTTGTATTGAAGAACAGGATTTTAAAAATAGGCTCATATATGTGGAAAAATCAACGCAGGTCAGTCAATCTTTAAACTATGTTTCTACCTTTCTGATAGAGAGTAGCGTTTGGACATAGATATAGAAAGACTCTTGCCTGGCCAGTATGGCTCAGTGGTTGAGCATCAACCCATGAACCAGGAGATCACAGATCAATTTCTGATCGGGGCACATGCCCGGGTTGTGGGCTCAATCCCCAGTAGGTGCATGCGGGAGGCAGTTAATCAGTGATTCTCTCTCATCACTGATCTTGTATCCCTCTCTCCCTCTCCCTTCCTGAAAATAATAAAGACATTTTTTTAAAAAAGGAAGACTCTTTAGGGCCCGTGGCAATTTGGAGTTTCATTTATGGAGTACAGTTTAATGAACCATAAAACATTTGTAAACCTGCCACCCACTGACATGTTGCCAACTTGGAAAGTTTTTGTTCATCCTTACTTTGATATATTTAAGCCATTAATTTGAGATGATATAGTTAACATAGGTCTATGTAGAGGAGAGAAAATGTCTCCTTTAGTCAACAATAAAATGATAATTTTTATTTGGGGAAAGAATCAATTGCCTGCATAATTGAAAGACTGCCTGTTTAGTATCAGAGAGAAAGAGAGAGAGATAGAGAGAGAGAGATGAAATAGGTTTTTAATAACAAATTTGTGTGGTTCTGCTTTTACTGTAACTTACGTTTCCAGCAAAAGTGATTTCACACATGTAGAAGGTCTCACAGGTCTGAATAAAGTTCTGTAATTGTGGGGGGAAAGATTTCCGTTATGAAAATGGAAAGTTTATGCCATTGTAAATTATCAGCTTATTTTCCTGAATATATTCTCTAATATAGAGAACAGTACTTTGATCTATTTCATAATTTTGTGTGTGGGGGGGTGAAGAATTGAGCATGTACATAGAAATAGTGATTTCTTTTTTTTTTTACTATAGAGTATAATAAAACATAGATGTGAACTGTGAAAAAAAGAAAAAATTAATACATGGAATTATATATTATCCACACCTTTAGTGTTAATCCATTGTATGTATCTTTCTCCCTCCTGTTTTCCTTTCCTGGACTCAATAGGTATTTTCCTGCGTTGGAACAGATCCTCCAAGTACTTGGATGAAGCATATGAAGAAATGGTTAACATCATTGAATATAATAAGGAATTACAAGCAAAAGTAAATCTCCTTAGGAGGCAGTTGGCGGAACTGGAGACTAAGGATGGGATGCAGGAGAGTCCCTGAAAGGTGTCCCCACTCCTGTGTAAGAAGCTTCCCACACCCGTATCCCACCTCCCTCTCCTTTTGATCTTCAGCTCACTTTTACATAGTAGCCTTGAACTTAAGGCTTTAGATGTGAGAACCCTCTAATCTAATGGATTTCTCAATACTTTATGAATGCAGTTTACTATAATTACACATGTTTCATGTGGCCTCTTAGGCCTTTTTACTTTGGGAGCAGGAAGGAGGTGCTAGTTATTTTATTTTATTCTATGTGAACCAGGTGACCTATGTAATACCATTAGTGTTATGCACCATTTCATCATAAGCTTTCTGCGTCTACTTTCCAAACAGTGCTTCAGACCAGTCAAGGTTATGACTAATCTCTTTAGGGGATATGTTAATTTAAAAAAAAAGATCAGACGCTTAAACACTTTGAAAATATAAATATTTTTCAAAACTGAAATGGCAGATAAACCAAGAATGTTACGTTTAACATGCCATTTCCAATACCTTTGCCATTCTCTTTAAAATAGTTTTGGAATAACAAAGATGAACTCAGTCTCACTCTGGTTTGTCAGGAGAGGAAATTCTGAATATTTATTCAAGGTAAATTATTTTACAAGGGCAACAGGTATAGTCCTCTGCTATTTACCTTAAGAAGTAAATTTAACAGTAGACAGTAAAAGTATGTGCAATATAGAAATAAAGTAGGAATTTGTTACTGATATGGTATTGTTACTGTTGAATTGGTTTTTTAGGTTTTTATCATACATATTAAATATGTATCAGATGCTGGATGTAACATTGAACCATCATTTGTAATAGATGTTAATTTGTTATAATTAAGCTACAAATATGGTTTCCTTAAACCAGAGATACACTGCCCTTGTCTGACATTCTCATTGCACTGGTTTATGTATATATGTGTATGTTTTATTTGTTTTGTTTTATTTTTAAGTATTCTAAGTGTTTACGAATACTAAAATTACAACTTTCATGGTGGTGTGAGCCTTTGAAAATGTATCTGGGCTCTGCTGATTTGTCCATTATATGTTAGGCAAATGTAATTTAAGTGGAGGTGAAAGATTATGAACATGATGCAGCTATGTTTTAAACTTCAGATTGAAATGTTTCAATGTTGGCTCTCCAATGATCCCCTAAACTTATGCTGTGCTCGTTCATTCCCGAAACTCAAAGTTTGAAATTCAGTGCTTTCCATGTACGTTTCTGTTTTGTGGAATTGCCCATCTTAACAAATACTGTCAATTTCCGTTATTCTTTAAAAAGATAGTTGAAAAATAATCATTAATACCATTTCTACACCATCTACATAGAACCATTTCAGTGTAAAACATACCAAGTCTGAACCCTGCTTTAGAGCTATGTATTGAGCTAAAAATACAGTTTTTTATAAATGGATTCTATCAGAATTTCTGGCCACATTCAGAAGCTTTAGAAAGTGACAAATTTGTTGTATCCCCAGTTGCCCATGTTTTATCTTTTTTCTGTCTCCTCAGACTTGCAGCAAAAGGCTGGACAACAATTCATAGTCAGAACTCTCTTTTGGTAAATGTGCCTGCCTTCTCCTATCAACTCCGTTTTGTTCTCGACTTATTTTCTTGGCTATAGTTGTGACTCTCAGGCATTAAAGCCCTCACCAAAAGGCTAAGGCAAGGAACAAAGGAGGTGTACTATCCTGTTATATATACCTCTGTGTTGTGTGAAATGTCTATCTTTTATAAAAGAGGAAACACCCTAGCTTTTTTATGGCCCCTCAAAATTGCTTGCTGCTTTATTCAGGCAGTTGACTTTTTTGTTTTCTCCTAATTTTATCCCAAGACTACATATGAAGAAGGTGCCCCTTCTCTGTTAATGGACCCATAGGAAAACCTAGACATTTCTCTTTTTTTAGTAATTTTTTAAAAAGTGGCCCCCCACTAGTGTTATTGATTGGCCATAGGGCTTCTATGGGTTTTAACTTTTAGATGGAGTTTTTATTAGGTTTGGTCATGGAGAAATTGTATGCCATTAATTTATACCCACCTTCCTGATGCACATTTTATGTGTGAGCCAGAGTACAATAGCATAGTGTTTTAATTTCGTTTTATTTCTTTTATTGAGACAGAAGTCTTAAGCTGTTTGGACAAGTTTGCATTTTAGTATTAATTTATAATTAGAGACTAGAGACCCGGTGCATGGGTTAGTGCACAGATGGGGTCCCTTGGCTGGCCTGCGGGGATTGGGCCAAAACTGGCTCTCCAATATCCCCGAAGGGGTCCCGGATTGTGAGAGGGCAGTTCTCGAGTGATGCGCCCCAGAATCAGTCTCCCTCCTTTCTGGTTCCAGGTGTGTCACCCAAGAACTGCAATTGCCAAGTCACCACAGCTCAGCAGCTCCTGTGTTGAGCGTCTGCCCCCTAGTGGTAATTGCAGTCATAGCTACTGGTCGGACAGTTTAACGTTAAGACCGTCGCTTAGGCTTTTGTATATATATACTGTCCAAATCACAGTTCTGATTATAGCTTGTAAAAACAAACTTTGGTGTAAAGGAGTGCACTTTCAAAGGAGTCATCTAATTATGTGAATATTAAGGTTTTCCCAAACTCAAGAATTCTGTCAAAAACAAGTGCATTAAAAATATAGCAAAGAGGGTTGTTAGTAATACTATTAAGTTACCCATCCGTTGGGTAAGAAGAATACCATAAAATAGATATACTTTTGAGAAGATACTTGTAAAACATTACGTTTGGACAATTGTCTTTGACAAATGTGGCTTTAAAATCTTTAATGAAGAGAATGATGGCAGAAATAGTGAGCAAGCAAATTGGCCCATACGAGTCAATAAAAATCAAATGAGATCAATGAGTTCTTATATATTAGGCATCTTCCGTATTCATTTGTAGTGAAGGCTGCTGGTTTACATTTTTGGGATGCAAAAAGTACTCCCCACAAAGATCTTAAAAATATAAAGGATTGCTATCATTCCTGTCAGCATACAAAGATCTTTATATTTAAATTAATTATTTTTTTAAATCAGAAAAGCATGGTTGATAATATAAAAATGCTGAAAGTTTCACTGATTAGACTTTTTGGCAATTGGTCAAAATTTTTCATTTTGATTTTATTTAATGGGAAGAAAACAAGCAGAAATTAAAATCTAACAGGTTTAAACAACTTATAAATGTGTTTAATTTCTAAGAAAAATTAAGCCATTGAAACAAGATTTTAAAGTGATTTTTAGGGAAGTTTTGGAAGACAGTAAACAGTCATTTCAGATCCCATTGCGGAATTTAAAAAACTTTTCTTTGACTCTGAACGCTGATTTAAGAGGTGATGTGTCATTGCTTTTCATTGTAAAGGATGAAATTTAGTGAGATTATAGCCTTTGATTCAGTTAGTATTTATATGAAATAAAAAATCAATATCATGGAAAAGATTTAATCAGTGATTGTCTCCTGAAGTGAAAACTAGGGACATTTTGCTGCATTTTAAAAATCTGCTTAAAGATGTGTCTTGTAGTTATTCTGGTTTCAGGATTAGCTATTTTAATTGTCAGTATTAACTGGGTTATCAGGTTCACTTATTGTAAGATCTTAACCTGAGACAAAAGTTTTGGTATTTATCCATATCCAGATTTAATGGGTGAAAAGTGTATGAGGGTATTATGAGCATTCTTTATCAGAGAGTTTTTCTTGGACCAAACTGAGCAATTTTTTAATAGTTGATCCCCTGTTTTGGCAGCTATGAAATTTACCAGAAAATGAAATCATTCAGTACATCTGATCCGGGTTTATGTTATACCTCAAGGCAATATAGATGAGTTATTTATTATTCCTTAGCATGTCAGGTCTTCCCTCCCTTCCCAGAGCTGATATCCTAAGTTATTACCAAATAGTGTTTTTATGTTAATTCACCACCCTAACTGAAAAAATTAAGACTGATTTCACCATTATTATTTATTCTCAGATGATATGAAATGCTAATTTTCTGACAATATCAGTTTTCTAAATTTTGTTTTAATGAATAAAACTGCTTTTACCTTCACTCAGTCTTTATAATGTAGTGCCCATAGCATCAGCTTCCTTTAAACCAACAGCCCAAAAGAGACCCTCTGAAACTCTATGATTAGGTTGTAGAAAATCTGGACTTCTTATCTATATTCCCTCCACGAAACCCAAGGTCCTATTTTTGAATGACACTGTGGAACTCTAGCTTGTGCTTAATTTAAAGATAGTGGGGCTCACTGTAGACACTACTTTGTCCTGAAAAATAATTCCTGATGAGAGCTGACTGACTTTTAGAGTCATCCTGGTTGATCATCTGTGAGTATATAGATTAACTACATTTGTGGTTTGTAATAAAAACAAGTTGTACAACACTGCCTGTGTCTGTCTGTCTGCCCAAAACATTTATTTCACTTTTAAAATGCACATATATCTTTGGAGAGGTAGATTATTCTTCACAAACACTCAAAGTTCTGTTGTTTAGGATCCTTATAGCTCTATCACCTTCTACACTAAAAATGTTGTACTTGCACAACTTAGTTATTAAAAAAGAATATGTATTTCTTCAATAGCGGGTATTTGAATGTACTCTTGATATATTTGAATGTGACTCTTGGAATTAACTGCACTATTATTCATGTCTCATACAATAAAATTGCACTGTATGGCAAATGTGTCTGTAACGTATGCTTTGCTAAACCTCAGAGTGCTGTAATGTACAGGTTTCTGTATTATGAACCTGTCTATATAGTCTTTGGGAAAAATACTGAACTTTAATAAGTCTGTGTAACACTTTAATATTATTTAGAATGTTCCCTAAGTGATAAGTTCACTATGTCCTACAACTGGAATCATTCATTTTGAGTTGGCTGCTTTGTCAAGCTTGGTTTACTGAACCCAGAAACAGTCTTGTCAAACGTGGTACTGTTATCTTAGTATGTAAGATATGTGTGTGGTGGTCTGCCTCAGAGGAGTGTTGCACAGATGCTACTGTTTAAATTTCTATAGACAATGGGAATAAAATTTGAATATATTCAAAAACTGGTAAATTAAATCTGTAGGCTGACTTTAATTTTTTCAAATATTTGGGAAGGTTGTGGCAGTTTTCAATTAAAATTGCTATTTAAAAAATTCAGATCCATCAAAGAAAGTTGCAAAGTAATACAGTGGTCTCCCATATACTGTTCACCTAAGTTGAATAACTTACATTTTTTCACCTTTGAGTTAACGTGTGTATGTGTATATGTGTGTGTATGTTATTTTGCTGAAACATTTGAGGGCAAGCTGCAGACTTGATGATCTTTCCACCTAAGAACTTCACAGGTATTAGGAGTATGTATTTATATACTGTTTACTCGGTATGCATTTTTATGAATAAATAATTGAGAGTAAAGGAAAGCTACTCAAAGTAGGTTGTCAACTATGAAATGTAGAATGATAAATTAGAAAGTCACTATTTGGCAATCATCACAGTAATAATTGACCTAGGCAGTCACCATCAGTGGATGTTAAAACTAGTAGGATAAAGCTTGTGAGGAAAAGAATCTAGTCTCAAAGTATTTTTCCATAAAATACTTATTAATTACAAAGGGGAAAGAATATCTTTATGTGAAGGAACCTTGTAGATACCACCTTGTCCAAGCACAATTAGCACCACTAGTAATGGGACAAATCAATATCATGTGCCTTCTGATATGATTCACTGAGAACACAGCATCACATTTTTGCGAAGACAAAAATAAAAAGCCCAATCTGAATCTAATTATGAAGACAGATCAGGCAAACTTAAATTGAGGGACATTCTATAAAATACCTTGTCTGTATTCTTTAAAGAACTTAGGAAACTTATAGAAGGAAAACCTTTTTATAAATTTGAAATTATTTCAAACATTTTTTTTAAAGTGAAAAAATGTTTCTGTCACAAAGTGAACAGAAAACAGGTGGCATCATACAAAACTATAAAATTAAAAGGAGAAAATATTTCAGCTGATAAAAATTATCCCCCAATAAATGAAACATAAAAAAAAAACAAAAAACCCACCGCCCTAGCTGGTTTGGCTCAATGGAAAGAGCATCCTGCAGACTGAAGGGTCTCAGGTTCAATTACAGTCAAGGGCACATGCCCAGGTTGCGGGCTCAATCCCCAGTAGGGGGTCATGCAAGGGACAGCTGATCAATGATTCTCATCATTGATTCTATATCTTCTCCCTCTCTCGGAAATCAATAAAAATATTAAAGAAAAAAAAACTAACACATTCCAAAGGAATATTTGCCTTTCAACAAAACTTCCAGTCCTAGCTGGCCTGCGGACCAAAGGGTCTCGGGTTCGAATCCAATCAAGGGCATGTACCTCAGTTGCAGGCTCCTCCCCGGCCCAGAACCTGGTCAGGGCATGTGCAGGAGGCAAGCAATCAATGTGTTTCACCACATTAATATTTCTCTCTGTCTTTCCCTCTCTCTTCCACCCTCTCTAAAAAAAAAATCGATGGAAAAATATCCTTAGGTGAGGATTAAAAAAAACCACAACTTCCAGACATGATATGAAAAAACACCTCAAATGAGAAATTACAAAACTCAGAACAGAAACAGGCTCAAAACAAAACAGGAAGATACTTGGGAAATGAACTCAGAAAAGAATTTGAAGAGTACAGACAAAACAA